CGTTAAAAACTTACATTCACATATAAGAACATGATTAATATGCGACGTACGGTATCAAACCCGTCTTGATTATAACGGATCAACTTCACTAAAGACAAAATATGAAAAGACATTGAAAACAAACGGATTGAATCTAACGGAATTTAAATGAAACCATTTATTTATATTTTCATATCATTTACTGCTCGATGACCGTACAAAATTTTATTATTTAATGGCATTAAACTCATTATTAAGAAATTTAATTTTAAATATGAAAAATTAAGCATTAATTAATTTCTTCCATATTAAAATTTAAAAAAAGAAACAATTCTAAAAGTGAAGTTAATCACTTTGACCTATTAATGGTTTATATAATATTTAATTAACTCTATCTTTACACCTATTATGACTACTGACAAATATACATAAATCAATGAAAGTAGACAACAAATCACGATCACTTCGTACACGATTATTCTCGTGTATTCGAATCAACAACGAATTCGTTTGTTCAAGAAAGGTAATAACACGATAAGAGCACAAGACATGTTATATTTCAAGCAAACGATTACGAAAAAGGACGGTTTTGATGACATTCTCATCGAACGGTGGCTCACCTAAAAAAGAAAAATTAACGATAATCTTATGAGAAAAGGTGAAAGGCTATAATATATCTTTCGTGATATTATCTACTGTCATCTTGTTCGATGTCATTTTTGTTTTCTACTATTTCTTTATTTTATCTTTCTCTTTCTTTCTCTTTTGATTCTTCGAATCATCATCATATTAGCCAGCGAGCAATAACACAAAGGTAAATTTTTCTTCAACCAGCAATTTACTCGATAATACATTACTCTGGACGATCATTCGCTACAGCATTCGTATTGGTAGGCACGAGGAAATGAAAGCCTGCCACGGCATGCTTTGCTTTTGAAGGCTATCGAGTTTTGTAACCACGCCTTGGCGCATACTCGATCGAAAAAGAAGAAAAAGAAATATCAAACTTACTATCATCGTAAACATGATACGCGAAAATCTGTTAAGGGCTTCTTAATCAATAAAAAATTATACACAAACGAATAAATATAAAAGTTGTTACAAAAATTGTTCTTATGTCAACTATGCAAAACGGATACTGCGGATGACAATAAATTTTTAACGTATAATTAACAATTTAATGTCGAATAAATTTCAAATTAATATATTCATCTAATAACTTATATGGATAGAAAAAAAAAAAAGAAAATTTATTGTCTTAATTTTTAGATTAAACTTACTCTTATATTATTTAATATATTAAGTATATTCTTTTAATCTTCTAAATAAAATCTCAACAAGATTTTGCAAAAAATTAACAAAATTGAATGATATTTATAAATAACTTTTACAACATTTAACGTTTTAATTGTATTAGTAACTCTGTTGAAGATCGATGTCGTTATTTAATAAAAGTTAATCGAGCGTATAAGTTAACAGTTGTAATAGTTTCAGTCATCATTTCCGGAGACCTTTAGTGGTCGCGGATGACCGTTATTCGTATGTCGTAACGTAACATAATTTACCGTAAGGTAACGTTATGAATATCACGTTATGTGTAGTATATTGAAGCTGATAAAAAAGAAAAAATCTATCTTGGACAGCTTCCTTTAAAAAAGAAGATATCTTTCAATCGAAAACAAGAGAGGTCTTCAATTTACGTTACTAAGAAAGAAGTAATCGTGCAGAAGGCTTAGCATTTTCAATTTATGTTCTTCGTCGTTCATCGAATAGTAAACGACCATCAATTTTAAGTTTAGCATGTTGAATAAAAAGGTTAATCGTTGCCTTTAACCGTCAGATCTAAATGTTAAAACTGGTTGAATAACATTTATTTTTTAATTTAATAAAAACCTTGTAATATAAAATCTTATTGAATATCTTTTATCACGGAGTGGATCAATGGTCAGAAAATTAACGAGTATCATTCTATAATATTATATACGTTGCTGTGTAGATGACAAATAAGTTTATATTATATTTTAAAATAACGTGTAAAATACAAATATTTTTTATTTCATACTATTTTTCTCAGTTATATACGATCCATTCTGTTATATTAACTTTTTCTGTATATAAAATCGTATATAATTCGTGTCAGTAAAAAATAATAAAATACAGAGTATATGGTGCATGTAAAACTTAACAAGAAAGGTAAGAAACTTTTGGAACAATACACAATGCAGATAATATAATTATATAAGTAAATATTTACAAAGATAATTTTTCAAGGAAGTTCAAGAGAATGTGATTTAGTTGTTAGTAATATTTTTATTTTCGTCTCGGTTTCCTTTGAAAAATGTAGAACGCTCCATAAAACGATGCTAGACCGACTAGCATATTTCGCATCAATTAAAATCGCTATCGCCGTGCTCTAGTTCGTACCAAGAGATCGTTATCGTTCGTATGTATGTGTGAAAGTAAGGGAGAAACGGAGATCATCAACAATTTTCTCGTTGGTTAGAAACGAAGGACCATGTCATTCCGTTACACAAGTTTTCGTAATCGCTTGTCTCGTGTCACAACGTAGGTAAGTACTCGAGTTCTCAAGCTACCTGGGAAATCCTCTTGCTTTGGATTACCTCCCTACGGAAGTTACATGAAAGAAACTTTGCAAGATCTCAAGGAAGTCTTCAAGTCCACCGAGCACGATTCTTCTTCTTCCGTATCCAAAATTCTCAAAATTTAAATAATGATAGACGTTGAACGTATAATTATATTCATTTTTATCAAACCTAAGTATGATTTATTTCAATTTTATATATTTATACGTCTTAATATAATAATTTAATGTCATTATCTATTTAATATAATATAAAAATAATAAAAATAATATTTTTCATAGTACTGATGAAGAAACTTTAATAATGCAAACCCATAGAACTTTTTCTTTCTTTAGTTAATAACGGAAATACATTAAAACTTTTTCCCAAATTGCTCAATTCATTTTATTACCGTTCCAAGCGAAGACCAGAATATCTCTATTAAGCATATATTATATACACGCCTGTATGATAGTCGATTTTTTGTCTAAAAGTAGCCGTTACAAACCGAAATGGTAACCGAGACTGAACCAATACGAAAGAAACATGTTGCAAGGTTACTTTCACCGGGTTTATCCAATGATAAAAGGATCCAAGTCCAAAATATCGTCATCGAGAAGTTTGAAACTTCAAGGTTGTACGTAACATCTTTCGAAAACTTCTCCGAACGCGGAATTTCTTCTTTGAAAGAAACTCTAATAATATATCTAACGACCAATTATATAGTTTCATTTTAATGTATATTCGCGTAGAAGAAAATAAGATTTTTAAGGACAGAGTGTGGAAAAATAATATTGTTTCTACTTACTAGCTGACTACAATATAGCTAAACCCAAGACCTTTCGGTTTTCATCGGTATTAACTTTCATGCTGTAATTCTCGTACGATTCGAAAGGAAGACTATCGTGCGTTAATTAACGTACAAATGTCAAGACACTTGTCTACGCGTTTATCGTAGGTGCGATGACATTCATTCAATTCTATTTCATACTTTTTTTCTTTTCAATATCACGTATCTCATCAATTTACATGTTTACATAAAGTTTCTCAATAAATTCAATAAAATATAATAATATATATACACATACAATTAAAATATATATCCTATTATTAATAGTATTCCAAAATGTCACGTTGTCGAGAACAAAAAAAACCAAACGAGAAATCAATATTAATTGAATTACAAAATTTTGTTTTTTATTTCAATATATAAATCCCTAATTACAACGTTAGTAAAAAAAAAAGTATTTATAAAACCAAAATAGCGCCACTATATATATCTGTCAACAAAAAAAAGATTTATAATCTTTTAATTCGATAAAATTAACTTGTAGAATATCCTGTACACAATATATGTATAATATACAGTATAATATATACATTATTATACATAATAGATATAATATAATAATGACATACTCAAAGCTAATAAAAAAAATCATATTCAAATCACAAGGTAATGAATAAATATGAATTTTGAAACGACCTTTCGCTAATTTAACAATTATACATCGACCATCTGACTACACTAAATCATAATTTAGTGTATTTTTTTGTCATCAAATTACTCGAAGATGATTCAAAATTCTAATTTGTATAAAGAACGAATAATAATTGTGTATGAAGGGGCATCGATGACGATAAAGTCACACCCGATATTACGTGATCATGCATTTATATAACACCTACATTATTCTTGCATTATATAGTTAGCAATGGTGACAGCACAGAGAAAGTTCCTATCTTTAGCCATATGCTCGAACGCTTGCTTCTATGGTACACACGTTCGACGTCGAGAGTGCGCTTCCATTATGTTATCATATCATCTATTCTAATTCATAATTTATACATAAATTATCTACAGTATTACTCGTGGACGTCTCTTCCTCTATTTTCATAATATTTCCGGTTTTTTGGCAGTATTTTATCCTATACAAATAATTACTAGTATAATATATGTATATATAGATTTAATATTTATAATAATATAAAATATGACAAAGAAATGTTACGTCATCGTATATGAGCTTTTTAACTTTATATTTAGAATTTTTTGAAATCTTATTATCAAAGCACTTGATAGATACTTACATTTTTATATTGAAAATAACTTTAGTTAATAATTAAATTTAACACCAATCAATTAAGAACAATTTATATGGCTATTCAATAACATTAAGTATGGAAATTAATTTATTGTCCTTTTGATTGATTTGATCCTTTTACTTGAAGGCAAAAATATTACAATTTTGATGCATTGAATTTAATATCAAAGTACATAATAAATAATAAGATAATGTATATTATTTTATCAATTTTCTTCACTTTCTGTTTTGTAGAGTTGATCGATTTAAAATATATATGTGCTTTATATTACAATAAATGTATTTATAATCATAGAATAAATAATAATGTGTTTTTCTTTTTTTATTGTTACAGTAGCGACAACATGCGGGAGAAAATATGGCTTCTGCTCGCTTTGTTCGGTAAGTAAAAATCTAACAAAATATTTCCTCTACGAAGTTCTACATCACCATTGAATGCTTCTTTTATTTTTTTTTATTTTTTCCTTAACTCGTATTTATACATTCCTTTAACTCTAACATAAGAGAGTCCTTTCTCCCAGTCTCACAGTATTTTTGGACTCGCCGTATTTGGTGAGGAATGCGAAAACAGTGGATGACCTTCCACCTGGGCATTTTTCAATTCGAAGGGAATAAAAGCTAGTTTACACTAAAGTTGTTTATCCTTCATACAAACACGTTACATGAGTATATATATATGTTAATTTATTTTTTTTTTTTTATTAAGTATTTACCGAAAAAAATCTTAAAACGAGTAGTTTTTTATTTTTCAATACGAATAAACCGATCGACCGAATCGAATCATTCGATTTTAGCATACGAAAGAGATTGCAAGTTAGTAAAGGGGTGTTCAAGTGGAGGAAGGTAAACCTGTTGCGAATGTCAATGTGTTTTGCTTTCTTTGTCATCGTTCCCCTCGAGAAAGGCACGTATCTTTACGTGGAAATATATATATATGTATAGACACCTATATATCTATATAAATGTATACGTATAACTTTAAGTGTCTTCTTCACAGTTATGACGCTTGTTTACGTAAATCCTTAAGATCGATAGAGGAAAGTAGGAAGTACATATGAAATTTAAAATATTCCGCCAACGCTTAATAAATGTTAAAAAATAACGCCATTAAGAATACTTCGATTAAATTTATTTGCTTAAAAATACGAATGTAATAAAAAGAAAAAAATAAATAAATAAATATAGTAACAATGTGAAATTCAGTTCAGTTCATTCGGCAACTTACTAGTAGTTCGCTTCTCACATTCACTGGACCGTTTGAAATCGATCACGTGACACAAACTTTAACATTTAAAATTCTATCTGGTATTTTAACCGGTCAGTAAACATTCGGTTTGAAAAACCCATACATACATATTGAGGTATTATATATATCTAACGTATGCAAGATAATTAATAAAATCTTGATCGAAAGTAACACAAAACGAATTAACCCAGGTTTCACAGCCGTCTAAGTAAAATCATTGTATATTCTGATAATTTATCTAAATGTCGTAATTAATATGACCATAGAAGTAAAATACTTTCGTTCATTAATATCACCTCCAAGTATGAAAACAAAAGTGTTTGGATTAAAACAGTGGTTCACAAAATGGGCGTCCCAAAATATTACATAATTTTATCTCTATTTTCTATTCAATGTAATAAGATGCAAAATCTAATGAATTTGATGGTGAAAAATTAAATTATTTAGTATTAACTGTTTACAGAATCTTCTACAAATAAAACATGTTTTATTTATTTTTAACCATTTCCTTAATAAAAAAAAAAAATATTAACAATTTTTCAAAGTGAATTTGTTAGATTCTGACATAAAGCACCTTGAAAAATGTTGAATTCAACAAGGACGTCTAGAATAGAAACAATTTGCGAACCACTGAATTAAAACATTTGGAGAAGTTCTTTAGCAGTTGCCGGAAATAATGAGTGGTATATTGCGATGAACATAAGAATTTTCTTCACGCTATTCCACGCAAGGATTAAAGCATTTCACGAGGATTCCCATATTTGTCTATGCTAGCGAGTCGAGTTTAAAGTAACAGGTTGCTTAGCATTGGGCTAAAAAAAGACCATTATTGTTAGTAGGCCATCTTTTCCCTATGAAAATAAAAAAAAGGTTTTATTTTACTTCACAAAAATGTTTCTGTAAGTTCTTTCAAAAATCATTTTGACATCTTTTCAACGAATTTACTTATATTTAATTTTTCTCTATTATTTTTCGATATATTATCTCTTGATATTATAATGATTATATTCGATAACATTAATAAGTTGTAATTGATGTAAAAGCAGCGCATATTCATGCTTTCGTATCTTCCTAATTGTTAATTATAGAAGTAATAGTAAGTATGGAAGTAAGTAACTCTTCATGTTTTATATAACCCCATAAAAAAGAAATCTAAGACAAACAAGTTCAACCGTAGTTGTTAATGTACAGGATCACCTCCAATCCATTTATCTAAAAATATCCTTTTAAAAATCATATGGGTATTACTGTCGAACGGTATTGAAACTTCATTATGCCAAAATCATATATTTATAAAATTATAAAATCTTACACTTTGTACACAGTTAGAAGTATATACTTGTAAACACAATCAAAATATTTAAGAAATACTTGTTTCTGAAAGTATTTTTTGAAACAATTTTAATTTTTCATCCACTGATACTATCCGCAACAACATAAAGTATTTAAATAAATGTTTAGAAGTTATCTAAATATCGCAAAATAAATGTGGTTACAATATCACTTTCCATTCAAAAATATATAGAGGATCCTTTTTTTACCTTTCTTAAAAGTAATCTTTAAAAAAAAGTGTACTCTACTCTAAAAGATTAACCATTTAATAATTGCAAAAATTAAATCTACGTTTTATTATTTTTTCAAAAGGACACTTTGTAACACATTATTGGAACCACCCTGTAAATTTGTTTATTTTATATTGTCTTTTATATTATCGAAGGGCTCATCGTATGTTAACGAGAAAGATAAATCTTAGTGAACACGCCCACGCTATGAAAATGTCAGGTCATTCCCATTCAATGACAGAAATCGACTGGCTTCTTGTGGTTAGCAAAAGATAATCAGATGAGGCAATTTGTTTACGCGCATTTGCCGATAGACTCTTTCTTTCGTCACGGAAAAAGCTTTTATATTCTTGTTGGTAACATTCGTTGGTTATTCCCACTTACATATATATGAATAAAGCAATAATACAATCACGCCCACGTTCACATTTCCCACAATCGGAATGCGTCCACGTTCCCATAATTTATTTTTATGCGACGTGCAGTATGTTACCGTTTGTTATCGATCCCTGTTTGGAAAAGTATAGTCCCGTTATAAGGTGCTGCACACAAACCATCGATTGGCTTCGACTTCGTGTATTTTCAACATCGAGGACAGCCTCTCTCTTTCTCTTTCTCTTTTTCTTTTTTTCTTTCTTTCTCTTTTATTCGTAATGGTATCGTTAGCACGTACGCGAACTAACGATAAAAGCTAGCTACCTTAAGAACCTTAGATATCTCAAATCATTATTGTTTTCTTTCATATCATTTCTGATCTTTGACGAGATCTTCATCGAAAGTCATAAAGCCGACTAAAAGGATCATTCTGATCAAAAATAAAAATATATACGTGAATTTATTCGTCAATGGTAACAACGAGTTATAGTTTGAAATTCTTTTGGAGTCTTATTATTACAAGTTTAACCAATAGAAAAGAAATTTACAAGAGATAACATCTTTTGAAACAAAAATGACTACATTTAATGTAATAGTTTTGAAAAACTCTCTGCGACTCGTAAAGGATTTCTCTAATTTTACTGATAAGTCAATAAAACGAAAAATTCGAGTACAATCTTATTCTACATGATCACCATTATATGTTCATATTTATTTAAAAAGATGTTTTTGAATTTTAAATAATCTTTCAAGTATCAAAATATTTTTTTTTATATTTTTCAATGTTTCTCATTTGTAATTATGTTACTATCACTATAATTTAAGCTTTTTTATCGCAAATGAATAGTATGTCTAAATTATTATCTTTTATTCTGATTCTAATTGCAAGTATTAGTCCCTAGTATGAAGTTTCTCTGTCACTCTTATTGACAGTAACAATTTACCTTCCATTAAAACTTTCCATTTAAAACAAATTAAAATTTATTTATGACACCAAATTAACTCCTACATCTAACAACAACTCGATGTTATAATAAAATATTAAATAATTAATGTAAACACAAATTGTCAAAAGAATTGATTATAAAAACAAATCTTGTTAGAAAATTTCATATTCAAACTGTACAACGTGCAAATTCATTTAATTGATATAATAAAACAAATGAATATATTACATAAATCGAATGAAAACTTTCAATTGTACATTATGTTTGAACAATTATCCGAATGATATTTTTTCACGATGAAAAATAAGATGAAAAATAATTTATCATTGATGGATAGATAACCAAAATGGTTTAACGATTATCGATGTAGACCAAAAGGAAACGATCGATTGATATCCTTGATCCGTTTGAAAACAATTACCCAACCGAATGCGCTCGCTCCTCGACTGAAAATTGCAACATTTATGTTAGAGTTCTCACTGCGCTTCTCTCTTTCTCTCTTTTCCCATCCGCACGTCGCGCTCGTCCGTGTTTTGCAACGCCGACGCTTCTCCACGATTTTCGCAATCGGAGGATGCGTAGTGGCCTTTGAAGTGCTGCTGCTTCTTTTTTCTTTTTCTTTTATTTTCTTTTCGTTTTTTTTCTTTTTTTTTTACTACTTCTCCCGAAGCAAACGGGGCTCATCGAGGTCATTACGAGTGATCTAACACAAACACACACACACCGTAGTGTACTTTTTCCATACTACGAATGAACGAGAACGCCATTGGTAGTCCTCAGAGAGAAAAGATAAAGATAATTATTCACTCCTACGACAAAGTTGACAGGCAATTGGAGAAGAACACGAGTAACATAAAAGTTCTTCTTTGATTAATGTCATGATCAATGAAAAGTTTCATTCAAATTCCAGGAATCTTATTGATCAATGCGGTCACGGATGGGATGAAGGCTACGAGACCGAAATTTAAAATCGCCACGACTTCAACAACAACCACTACCGAGGAATCACGGATCGAGGAAAATGAGAACGAAGATGCCGTGGTAAATAGATATTCAATCTTACAACTGATATTTTTAAAACGTCTTCTTTTTAGATTTATCGATTCGAAACATAAAATTCTATATACAATTTTATATTCATATTTCATATACAGCATATTCTAAAAGTCATTTTATAAAAAGAAAAAGAAAAACAATGTTAACTCTTTGCACTCGAGGGCTCCGCTACAGAGACAATAAAAAAAAAAATAAAAACTGAAACAAATTCAATTCAGTCTACAACATATAAACTATGATTTTTCTTTTAACTATGAATATGTCATTAATTTATAATACGTGAGTATGATTTTTTTTCTATTGAAATTGCATTGTAAGTTGTCGGTAATATGTAAAATGAAAAATATAACTTCAAGTGCAAAGGGTTAATAACCAATATTATAAAATCACAACAGTATAGAAAAATAATAACATCATTCTAAATATCTGTCTAAAAAAAGAAGAATTTCTAATTTTAGCAAAACTTTTAAAAATAATACACCTGGTTCTATTGAATTGTAAATATTCCGATAGAGAATATAATTTATAGTATCCTAATTATATACATCTGTCAAAAAGAAATCAAATTGAACGTGTAGGCGAAATTGAAAAGGTAAAAAATGACCTTGTCAATAGATTTCTATTCGTTTCATTGTTCGAAAGATATAAAAGTATATAATACTTTGACGACTAGTACGCTCGATACAAAATGAAAGGTGAGCACAGGGACGAACAAGTATGGCAGTAGCATTATATCATGTTCCAGTCTTACTACGTGCCGCATTATAGTGGTAAGACAATCGTTTATCTTCGATATATATACTTACGACACTATCTCGATCCATTCTATAGTCACGAAACGATCTTTATATTTAGAGATGTGTATCTAATATCATACATGACGTTAAAACTATCATTTAGAGCAGATTGCTTGATGATACGATGAAACATCGTGATTGCTATTATTATTATTATTATCATCACCGTAATCATCATCATAATTATCATCACAATCATCAGCATCATCGATAGATTACAATTTCGAAACGAAAAGGTCAAACACGATCACATTTCCATAACTTCCATTTCCTAAACTTTACTACATACAATCTAACATTTTTAACTCGTTAATTAATATAGACAAATGATCAAATTATAACATCGATGATTAGACACGAATAAAATAAAAGTTCTCGTGAAAGATACTACAGGTTCACCTTAGCACGTTAACCGAGAATGTGAGGTCATCCTTACAATTACGAATGCTCATCACCGAGTGTCTTTCTATCTATGTACTCAAGTACTTACATACCTGGATACCGTAAAAGTGCGTTCGGAGTAATCGGGAAAATTGTTTGAGAAAGTTCGCGATCGAGATTCACTCGAAAATAGACTCATCAAACTGAATATTGTGATATTCTTCAATGATTCTAAAATTATTCAAAAATCATATGTTATTTTTTTTTCTTAGACAACCTCAGTAACAAACTCATCGGAAGGAAACGCAACAACCGGGCACACGTTAACAGGAATTCCTCAAATTGATTATATTTGGGATCCAAATTTGCCGCGTGAATTGAACGGCTACAATCTGAGCGATTATCCATTCTACAATAGTATTCCAGAGGACATTGACTTCAAGTGCGACGGCTTGCACGATGGATTTTATGCGAGCGTACCTCACAAGTGTCAGGTAAGAATAATAATCGAACTCCAGAGTATTAGACTCCGAACATTTGAATGGTAAAGTTCAAGTAAAAGCGCACATCCTGCAAATCCAGACGTAATAACTACTACGAAGTACCCGCGACGATGCTTTTAAAAGAAATATTCTTACGATATCAACCTTGTAGCATGATTTAATGATGCAAATAAAAAAGAGAAGATTTTATATTATGCACATATATACATATACATGTAGGTAGATATTATACAATTAAATTTCAAGGACATTTCGATTCATGTTTTCACTTAATTACATTTTTTTCAATTAACACGTGCCGTGTTGTATATACCATTTTCGATAGATACTTGTACCTTGTTTCTTCCCCAAGGAAATTTTTATTAATAACAGATAAAGTACGGGATAGTAATTGTAGGCCCCACACTTCAACTACCAATAAAATTGTAATATGTGCATTTTATAATTTTAAAAATTGCTTTAAAAATAAATAAATAGTTAGTTCAAAAAATAAAACTAACAAAAATATATTACTTGAACATATTCACAAAAACTCTGTACAGTGTACCGTTATTGGTAGGCGTGGTCTGGTAATGACACCAGTTTAAAAAACAGGCTCAGCACGAAACGTGTTTAAAAAGTAATGAAATTGTTCGGGCAAAATTCCAAATAGGACTGCATAATATAAAATCTAACTCAATATTTTTAAATTTAATTGCTCACTAATTATAGACTTTTACGTACAAATATAAAAAAAAAAGCTCGGTATTTATTATAAACTAGAAACAACGAAAAAGATAGTACACGAAATGTTAAAAAATATTTTTCCTCGACGATCATTGAGACCATAACAATTAATCGTTAATCTTCCTGTGAAAGGATTTCCAGCTGGGTTCTTTTTATAAAAAGGGAGAAGGGATAACGGCGAATAGGAACGTAAATCAGAAAGGATATTTTCGTGGTCCGCTAAGTCTTTTATCCCTGACCGTTTCGTGCTAAGCGAATCTTAAGATTGTGAAAGCTATTGCAAAGTAGCTTCCTTCCGTCTGAACTTATCGATCGACTTGCTCGTAAGTCAGGAGCGGATATGCCATTGTTATGCAAATATCGGTAAGAAAATTCGTTACGTTCGCTTCTACGAGTCGGTCAGCGTAAAGGAAAAAAGAAAGAAAACAAGAACAAAAACAAACAAATTTCTTGTTCGCTTTCCCTTTAAATCTCAATAGAAATTTAAAAAGCATCTACAGCATAATATATCTCGAATAGTTTTTAAAAAATATTAAAACTATTTCACAAAATAATAGATCATTTATCTAGAATCTTAAATCTTGAATTCGACAATATATTATTATATTATATTATTATATTATTCGATAATATATTATTTTTGAATTTAATCATTGAGAATTGAGAAATGAATTTAAGAATTAAACGGCATCTTAATTATCATCTCTAATTGCAAATATCTAAAAAGTTATTGAGTAGTGACTCCTATAACCATATATATTCGTGAATAGGGAAGCAAAATCTATTATCCTACAAAATTTGAACAAAATCCGTGAGGGCAAGACCTTGCACTCCCCTTGTCAGACACAACCTTGCTTCTATTAGAAATACCGAAAGCATCTATTTAAAATATTGAAAAATTATAATTTACTCTGAAAAAAATAATCATACAGTTAGTATTTATAAACTGTATTTTACAAAATCCTGACCAAATAAATAGAAATGTAAATATGTATGTCTATATACGTATAAATTTATATACTTACGTGTATATCAATTTATATAATTAGCATTAAACAGGTTTGTCCGTTATATTAAAATTAACAATAAGAACAATAGCATTCTTCATATATAAATAAAAGAAGTTCAGTTAATGATAGTAAAAGCGAGAAAATATCAGAATAAAAAAATAAAAGAAAGAAATAGAAAGAGATAGTGGAATGGACGTGCTCTGAATGATTCCAGATGATTCCGTCAGATAATTTAAGTTGACTGTATGCGCGATAGACAATCGTGCATCCTGCTCATACGCAGAGAGACAAGTTCCATCTGCGTGCAATAGCGTGCACACACGAAAAGCCTCGCACAAACGAAACGAAACGATCATTCACATACACACATTATACTATAATACACAGTGTGAAAGCTACACAGTGGCAACGTTGGTGACCTAGCTGAGGTTCGCTAAAAAGTGTGTTAAAACTGTCAAATGTATGCTGCAACATAATCAACTAGAAATAATAAAAGAAAAAATATAAATGAAAATAAAATAATTACATTTTAAAATTTTGTACATGCTTATATATACATATATAAATCGGTAGTGACGTATCGCTTTCCAAATCGAAGGAGAAACGCACTCAAAAATTCTCGAAAGTTTTAACGCCAATCCAGCTCCGCGTTTCCGTCACTTTCACTCATCGATGGATATATTATTTCGCAATTAGCGATAAAACAAGTCCCAAGTGCTACCCTATTATGAATAATAACTCTATGATCCCAATGAAAAAAGACTACTCGGCTAAGGAAGGATTTAAAAGCATCGGATTGTAATTGTAAGATAAATATCGTTCTTCGTGGCCATCCTTACGAAGGTAACCTGCTCGAGTTACTTCGTATTATATTATAGATTATGTTGCGCATCCATGGACGATCTTCATTTTACGAAAAAAATTAAAACAAAAAAAAACATTAATAAAAGAAACGGTTACACTTGAGCAATGGTTTCGACTTACTACATACAGCGGTTAAGAGATTCTGAGCACAGCAACATGCGAAGAAATAATCTCGTGGAAGTAGAGCGAAAGAAAGCGTTTCAAAAGTCGAGCATTCGTTTCACAGTTTCCTCAAATCTAAAAGATATTTTATCATTTTTTTTATGACCAAAAAAAATTTTATGTAAAGTGAAATTTAAAAATATTATTCGAAAATTTACAAATGTATTAAATTTATTTCGATATGTCTCAAGTTAGAGTTGATAATTGGTAAAAACAATCATATCAGATAAATATTATAAAGGGTATCAAAGAGAGATTATAGAAAAAACAAAAGAAATTAATTTTTGTTTGACAGGTTTATCATCACTGTTTATACGGCACACGTTATGACTTCCTATGTGCAAATTTCACGGCATTCGACCAGAAAACCTTCATTTGCCATTTCGTGTCCGAGGTCGATTGCGCCAACTCAAAGAAGTACTGGCACAGGAATGATGCCCTTTACAAGGCGACAACTAGCTCAACGACCTCGACGTCGACAACGACTACAACGACTATCGCACCTGTCACAGTGGCTTCCTCGTCGAATGGGCGAGCTTCTTCACGCGAACGAGATTTAAGACGAAGAAGACCATATTCAAGAAGGAGACCTTATGAGTATTACGATGAGGATTACTACGATGACGAATACACACGACCACGTGGATACGACAGACGCGATGATTACGAATACGAAGATAGAAAATATAGAAGAGATAGAGACAGAGATGTCAGGGATCGAGATCGTGATTTTCGTGATCGAGATACTACTAGATCCAGGGATACAACCATAAGAGACGAAAGAGATCGAGACGTTCCTCCTAGGGAAAGATATCCAACTAGAAATAACAGAAGAGATCAAACAAGGCAAAGAGATCCACCAGAAGAAGAGACCAGAGGCTTGAAAAATAGAGAACAAGAACAATCTAGATCGCGCGAAATTGAGGACCCAGAATTATTGGATGATCGAAGAATCGATTCGAGGGTTAGAGATAACGACGATAGAAGGTATTCCGATAAAAGGTAAGTTGAAGATTTAAGTAAGTACGATTGACAAATATGTAAGAAAATTTTCTTATCTAATGCCTTAGGTTCAGGGATGATTATGATGATAAAGACTCCGGTGCTCTGCCAGGTCAAGGATCGGTCGGTGTTACCGAAGGACTCGTCAAACCAGCTGCTCCGATCACTTCGGTTTACTCCAGACCAAGGGCTCCTCCTAAAATTCGAAGACCGGTACCATTATCTGAACAAGACCGCTATGCATATAAGTCCACGTCTGCGCAATCTACTGGTAAGCCGGTTCTTCCCGTTCCACTTGATCGATTTATATTTGTTTCTACACCAGTTTAGATAGATTTTCTTAAGATTAACGAGCGTGTTCAACAGAAAAGTTTTTCTTTTTCCGTTGTTTGTTTATCTATATGGTTTTTTGTTAATACAAAAAGTTGTATTTGATCTTTTTGTAATTTGTTCCAATCGATATGGTGGGCGGTAATCAAGTGAGTACTAAATACAAAACAACTCGGGTAAAATCTCTCTCATTTGATGAAATTATTTTCTCAAATCTTATTTAAATAATTTGATTTATATTTCAGAAGAACCACGAAGACGACCGGTGGATCTTGAAGACGATTATTACGATGACGAGCTAGAAGATGTCAGACCAATGAGACGACCAATCAGACGTAGACCGAGTTATAGAGAAAGAGATAGAGATCGTGATTTCTACGATGTCAGAGAAAGAGAACGAGATCGACCCTTCAGGTAAGGTAACGTACACAACACAGATACAGTTCTATCTACTCATTGACGTTAACTCGTTAATCCGCATTACTCGTTTCAACACTAATGACGTACTTACAATTGGTAACAACAAAGCTAAACTATTTACTAGGCTATTTTTCGAATGAATCAAGCACCATATTGATTTAAGAATAAATCATTGAATCGTCATATCATCATGCGATTTTATTAATCTTCATAAAAAGTAAATAAAAACGTGATTTTTAATTACAGAATTCGATATCGCGAGGATGAAGACGATATACGACCCAGGAAGCATCCCGATCGCTCGAGAGACCGTTACTACGAAAGGGAACGAGAAAGGGATCGTAGTTTGGAGCGTAGTAGAGATCGATCGGTTGATCGTGGAAAGGATCTCTCCGCTCCGAGATCCTTGGATCGCGATCGTGTAAGATATCAAGACGCTGACAGAATTGAGAGACCGTATTCTTCGAATCGACCTCTAGAAAGGGAAAAAGACAATAGACCAACAACAGACGAGAAATCTCGATCGTCCTTCAGATCGAAAGATTTATCAGATAGTACAGAGACATCTAGAAGACCTATCTCAACGACGAGTACGACGTGCATGCCGGAAATGCCGGTGGTGCACGAAGTAAAACCGGAAACAAAACAAATGCCTGTAGATCGTTTCGAAAGACCGGAACGTCCAACGAGACCACCTCAGTCGCATAACACCAACAATAATAACAATGGTGCTCGGGTATCATTCGAAGAGAAAGAAGAAAATCTTGATGAGAAATCTATTAAGCCGCCTCCTCATTATACAATCTACCAAGAACGAGATCAAGAAGAAGAAGAGGAACAAGATCATCGAAACCCTCAATTGCAACAACATCATGCATCATCTTACTCGGATGAATACTCTTCGGAGTATTATGACGAACCGGAGGATCCACCAATTCCTCCCCCAAGAACAACCGTACGTATCGTCAAGAGACCATTTTTACCATCACGTGGTGGAGTTCCTAATCCTAGAGGACTCTCACCGGTTGGTTCGAAAGCACCGAGAAGAGAGGATGACAGAAGCACGGAAAGAACGAGTCTGCAACATCAACAACAACATGAAGAAAACCACAAAAGTTATTATGTTCCTGAGCAGGAAAGCAAACGAATTAATCAGGATGGTAAACGCGAAGAAGAGAAGCTAACGTATGACGCTTACAAAGTAATTCAAAGCGATCTCCAACAAAAACAAAGACAGGAAGAATATGATGTAACTATAGCCAGACCGATATTACGTAGACCTGTTGAAAGACAACGCGAAGATGAAGAAACGAAATCTTTAGAATTAAATCCTATACCTAAAACACCTTCCACCGAATCTTATGAAAAAATTCAGAAAACACTTGACCTAGGAGTGCCGACGAGTAACAACAAGTGGTCTACCGAACAATTTATTAGTAACAAAGATAACAACGATGGTATAATACCAACGTCTTCGGGATCACCAGTTCGTAACAAAAGCAGACAACCCGTCACCGAAACTTCCAATCTCTATAGCTCGACTTACAAAGATGAAGACATCAACGAGCAACCTTCTGGACCAAGTAGTTACCGAGTGAAACAAAGGATAAATGAGGTGACGCATAAACTTCAGGATATTCCGGATAGCGAGTATGACGTCACGCTAAATGATGCCCTGACACCGACATTAAATCAAGAAGCCAATTTGCCGAGTGGTTTCGTTTTGCCTCTTCACAGACAACTCAGTAGAGACACGATCTTGCAACCGTCCGAAGACAATTACAAAATCTCCAGACCAATCGGCCAGCAACAACAAAAGCCGTTTGTACCGAGTCCTCAGTACGATCCAGCACCAGCTGTCTCAAACGAAAGACAACGAACTGTTTATTACAGAACACCGGAATCAATTCCATACAGTGGACAACATTATAGACAACAAAGTGGACCTTGGCAAGATTATACCGGTTATTAAAGAGATACTCGTCGTAAAAGAGGGATAAAAATTGGAAGAAAAATGGGAAGAAAATCGATCACAGAGTAAATTCAAAGATTTCCCAAGTATTCGTTTAAGTTCCCAATGTTAACTGTTCACATACGAAGGTTCTCGTGAGAGATTGGTTCGTGATAAGAGGAATTATATGTGGATGGATATTACGTAAGATTTAGCGGTTTCTTTGATGTCTTTCATTTCGATTAACTACACAATATGAAAAAGAAATATCGTAAAATAATGTTCAATACAGAATTAAACGGTTAGCAATAAGGAAAAAAAAAACAAAAATTAGATTATACTGCGTGAAATGTTGCAGAAGAAGCGTTCTTTTCTTTTCCTATTTTTTTTTTATTTATGCAAGGTTGCCGAAAATCAAATTATTATATTAAAAACATTTCAAGTAAAAAATAATTTTAAATCGTCGCTCCTATAGAATTAAAACGATACATTTCTTTTATCAAACAAAGTAGTCGATCTAACTATATTAGTGAAATTTTATATTTTTTAAACGATCCCTACAACAATGTGCATGAAATAAAAAACCTCATCTAATACGATTTAGTTGCCTATCAACGAATTTATTTTCTAAACTACGATAACTTTTGAGATTTCTTTCACGCGGCCTCAATTATTATTTTTTCTAGAGACGTTAAGATAACATAGAAAATATAATCGACAATGAGAGAGACCTTTTGGCCTTCATCTCGTCGATTAAACTTGTAAATACACGTACAATTATCGATATCCTCTCGAATTAAATTATTTCTTAAGAGCGATAAATAATATAGTTTTCTCCTATAAAAATGTTACTTACACATATCAATTCGTTAAATAAAATTATAATATATTAGATGTTAGAGCGAACACAGTGAACTTCCTGAGTGTATATCTTACATCATGATAATAATGTAAATTATATTATCGATACTTGCGTACAACATAAACAAATATAAAAAGGAATTTCATTCAAGTATTCGTCATTTGATACCTTCAAACAGCATCCTTAACTATATTTATAACGATCACATTTTTTTTCAAGCAAGACAGTGAATTAATTTAGTAAGAAGTTCGAAAATGTTTATTATTATAGTACAAATGAAATAATTTACGTAACGAAATATTATTAGGCGCTCTCCACAAATATCAATGAACAATCTGTAGGTCCGAAAATATAAAATATACCTTACAATTAAAACAGTGAGCGCATACCTTTGGAACCAAATGAATTTTATATATAAGACTTACGCATAATTATAATATTATTCAAATGCGGAGAAGTATATTAAAAATATCTGTATTACGCCACACGTTAATAATGAAAAAATTTATGAATACCGAGCTTGTGCTGAAAAAAATAGTGTATCAGTCAACAACAGACGTCCGTTAAAATAATTTACATCACAGAGTTAAAATGACAACTTACTAAAAAAAACCACGGATACACAAAATATACGACATCTTATTCTTAAAAAGAATCAATGAAAGCTCAAAACTAAGCAATTGTAAGATTATCTCGACGAAATACGGATAAATAATACTGTGACAAGTATATAACATATTTCAAGGAAAATTTGCGTATACGTGGCTATTGCTAAAAACAGTTAACAGTTACGATATACAGTCAAATCACTGCGATGCGACATTGACAACAACGTGATAGATGCGCGACACAACAAATAAACAAAAGAATCATCAAGTAATTCATTGATCTTATTACAGAACATATGTTGCGGCAAATAGATTACTTAAAAATAATAATATAATAATAATAATAATAATAATAATAATAATAATAATAATAATAATAATAAAATAATTAATAATTATTAATAATATAATAGTAATTCGCAGGTATCATTCGTACATACTAAAGTTTAAACTTGCGAACTATAAAAATATTAAATCTTGCCGTGATGCAGACAAATTCGCTTTTACTCTGCGCATAATAGCCAGAATTTGTATCTATTTTACTTATAGTGCGTAGTTCTGTACAAAAATGATAGAGTACAAGAATAGGTTACACGCGTATATATGTATGTATACGTATATATATGTAAATATATAAAAGGTGAGTCGCGGTAAATCTTAAATGGTAATTTTACCATTTGAGATTTCTCGGTTATTTTTTATTTTATAGAACAAATATTAAGGGATAAAGTTACTCTATTGAACAAATTTCTCCAGGGTCTATATTAAATTTATAGGTCATTGATATATATTTTTTTAAAAAATCTATGATTTCTTCTGTACGAAATGATTTTTTATACTTTACTGAATAAAAAAATACTTTAATACAACGTCGGAAGATAATAAGTTCCCATAATGTGAATATTAACATATTCAAGATTATATTTTTCACAACTGCAACAATGCATGTGCATGTGCATTTGCGAAAAGAATAAAATTGTAAATATGTAGTCCACCATAAACCGTTTAGTTTACTTTTTTAACATTTTTATATCATTCAGAAAGGCAAGAACAATCAATTCGTACATAAAAAATCATAAGGTTCCGTTTAAAAAAATACCGATAAAACATTCGTCCCATTGTCAGATGTACTCTTGCAATAACTTAGTTGACCCTGATCATTGTTTTCCGCAAAAACAAAAATAACGAAATTATTTATGTGACAATAATTATTTACTCAGCCTATATGCTGGTACATCTCTCTCTAGTACGAATATATATAAATATATATATACGCAGAAATATATAAACTTACATATATATAATTATACATATCATATGTGTAAATGTAATATGTCGCAAGTGCTTCACAATTATTATTTGTGAGCGGAAGCTCATGCACCTCAAGAATATAATCTTCCTCTAGATTAAAATATAGGACACGATTCATTGGCAAGAGTATACGGCCGCGATTGTTAAAGAAGAATATTTACAAATTTTTCTTATTATATTACAGAGAAAAAGACATTGAGCACGATTATGAAATTCAATATCATTTTGGTATAAATGCAGGTGTTCCCATATGTCTTGTAATTTGAAAGATAACTCCATCCATGCTTTTTCTTTTTTTCTCGTTTACTTTTTTATTTTTTATTTTAGAATATCATTTTACACCGTCCGTTCGACAAGGGACCAAATACTAATCTCAAATTCACGGATTCTTTGGTAAACGACGACAACGTTTTAAGACACATCGTTGTAAATCACCCGAATTTAGAATTATTCTCCAAGAAATAAGACTTTATGAGAGAACAATTAATCAATCGAACGTAACGCGATTGTTATAAAAACAAAGTTGTTAGCTACGATATTGTAAACAAAATAGGCTCAATTTATATACACGAAGGAGAATAATAATTTGCTAAAAAAGTTGAAGTACATTTAACAAATTTTTCAGAATTTAATATTCGATAAGATTGAATGCAATATACTACTTCAAAAAATATGGCCAATTCCGTTACATACTTCTCATTCATCGCGTTACTAAATAAAGAATTCACAATCATATCGAAAATGATAGATAACAATATTCGATACGATTCTATTATAGATTTCATTTTGTCTATATAGTGCATATAGAGTATATATAATTATACTCTACATATGCATACATATATATATATTTTAATATCGAAATAAAATTTACTTTGACGAACTTACTAATATCAATATAAAAAATCATGCACCCAATATATAATAGTATATCTTAACGAGAATATCAAATACGCATTTCGTCGCATTGCACCCACTCAAAATTTAATATACACATATATTCCTTTGTGTTTCTATATGTATGTGTGTGTATGTATGTGTGTATGTGTGTATGTGTATATATATATATATACTTTTTATAAATATAGATATAGCTGCACTTGAATGAGAAACGAGTATTCACTAGTTAAAAAGAATTTTTAAAAATGCCATTAACAGTGTACTTAGCCATGAGAAAAGGCACGTACCACTAACGTTAACAAAAGTATCGAAAATCGTTACTCGTTCAAGTACTTCTTTACATTTGGCTTTTCGATTTGTTTCACCTACTATGTTCAATCGTTGTTACTCGATCGAAAATCTCCTTCTTCTCATTATGTATAATAAAATATACGGAGAAAAATTCGTTTAAGAGAGCAACATACAAGACGTACGTATAAAGAAACGATATTTACTTTGTTGAGACGATCGGAAAATTCAATTCTGAAATACTTGAATATTCTGATCGTCGATCAATAGATAGATATATATATTTCATTATGCGAGCAGGTGCGTCTCGATTGATCGTTCTTTTTTTTTTTCTTTTTACACATATATTCTCCTTTCTTACTCTTCTTTTTCTTATTTTCCAAACATTTGTCGTCTCTTCTTACGCTATCGGAGGATCATCGTCGTCATCATCATCTCTTGTGACTAGGACGTTGCCGTAATTTTGCCGGTATTGTCGAAATCGTTGGACCCATCTGTACCGTCTTGCGCCGAAGTATAATGCGACAGCGATTATTATGAGAAAGGTTGGTATCAAGAGCCCAGCTACTGAACTACCTGCAATACAAATATTATATTAGCTTATGTAAGATATAATTTATAAATATTTGATAATCTTATATATGTTTAACAGTAAATTTTAACCGAGCTTCATATATACCTATTTCTACTACAACGAATTAAATGATCCATTTTCAAAAAGTCATATATTTTACCATGTATGTATAGCAAAAAATATACCATTTATGCAATAAGAATTTTTGATTCACCAAATAATACAATAATTAATAAAAAAAAATTCCTCCAAAAAATTAATAATCGGTCATTTGACTGGTCATGGTACGTTTAGTGTTAAACGTAATGCTTTGTTTGTGATGTAACATATTGGAACGACACGCTGGCACATTTTTTTACGATATTTTTAATGTTTCAAAAGCGAATAAAAAGCTTTATGAATCACTATAAAATTTTATTTAATTATATGATGTATTTATAATTTTATTTTATATTTGAGCTTGTCTAACGTAAGACCGTGTTTTTAAACATGACCAATCGTAAAACATTCGATTTAAAAAACTGAAAGTGATCTACATATATTAAAACTAATTTAATTAAATTATATTTTATTTTTATATAGTAAATGATTTTTAAATTATTTAAAGTCGTCATGTTACTAGAGTTACCATGTATAAATAACTTTTTGCCACATCAATTTACTCCACAAAAGAAAAGTAAACAAAATTGATTAAGTTACATATATTGTTATATTATTTTTTATTTAAGGATCACAATAATTGTTTTCATTTTATGGCATTAAAGGTACTAATTTTTTTAAACAGATTTACTTTAAATATTAGGAAAAGTTAAATGTTAATCCAACACTTTGAGAGTAAAATTGGTAGAAATTCTAAAAACGAAGTTAATCGCTTTGACCTAGAAACAAGTAATATGCGTGACACCGTTGATTGGTTCTTTTAATTTAATGTATCACATATATATGACGTATAATCTAACGATAATTTTTTTTTTTATCTATAGACCAGTGACACATAAATATGACATTTATTTACAATCCTTTGTTTACTTATTTAGTAATCTGTATGAGACATATTTTATAAAACTTTTGCAAGAAAAACATGAGCTGTAACTTTCCAGCTAGACTGTGGTAGCTAACGTGATAAAAGAACCTACTGAAAGTGTGAAAAAAAAAGAATGGTTCATTCCGTGTTAAACAAATCCGATGCACAATGATTCATATTCGTTATTTATACATTGTGATTATATAAAAAATATATATATTAGGACTTTGAATAAGTTCTCGCTGTTTTTTTACAAAATAAAAACTTCATTTAAAATATAAGGAACAAAAACGATTTATTGAAAGTATTGCCCATCACTAGAGACCATTTTCTCCCATCATTCTGGCAGTATATGAATTCCACGTTGGAAAAACGACATGTCTTTTGAGGCTATCCAAGAATCGACCCATTTTTTAACTTCTTCGTAAGAATGAAAACGCTGGTCAGCTAAGCCATGTGCCATCGAACGGAATAGGTGAAAATCGGAAGGGACTATGTCAGGTGAATACGGTGGGTGGGGTAGAACTTCCCATCGAAGCGTTTCCAGGTAGGTTTTCACTGGTTTTGCAACATGAGGCCGAGCGTTGTCATGTAACAAAATCACTTTGTCGTGTCTCTTCTCGTATAGCAGCCGTTTTTCTTTTAGGGCTTGACTCAAACGCATCAATTGAAATCGATAGCGATTCCCCGTGATATTCTCATTCGGTTTGAGCAGCTCATAATAAATTACACCCTGCTGATCCCACCAAATTCAGGGAGGAAGCTTCGAACCATGGATATTTGGTTTTGCTGACGATGTTGATGCATGGCCAGGCTTACCCCATAATTTTCTACGCTTTGGATTATCATAGTGTATCCATTTTTCATCGCCAGTCACGATACGGTGCAACAAACCTTTTCTTTTCTGCCGTTGAAGTAGTAGTTCACACGTGACAAAACGTCGTACGATGTCTCTTGGCTTCAATTCATATGGCACCAAATGTCCTTGCTTCTGGATCATTCCTAACATTTTTAAACGTTTTGAAACAGTTGACTCATCAACTTGAAATGTTTTTCCAAGTTCTGCTAGCGTCTGAGATCGGTCTTCATCGAGTAATTCCTCCAATTCTCTTACCTCTCGTTACCATTCGAAATTTCAAGCACGGAGTACTGCTATTGCCATCTTTAATGAAACAGTGAGAACTTATTCAAGATCCTAATTTATATATTGAGGAATAAATAAAAAATTGATTTTACGACTTATTTTATAATATAAATATTAATTATACGAAATAAATTATAATATCAATTTTTTCATTTTCTGAAAGTTTAGTGTTATAATTACCGACACATATATGTGTAGAAAAATAATATTAATTTTGATTGAATAATATAAATCTTGATTATATCAAACTGGAGCTATAATATATATATATATATTTTATACCAGTTGCTATTAACTATAATTAATATATATATATATATTAATAATATATATATATTAATAATATATATAATAAATATATATAGTATAATATTAATTATACTATATATATTTTATACCAGTTATTATATACCAGTTACAGATATAAAAATAATATATATATATATATATATATATATATATATAATATAACTTTTCGGAAATACCCTATGAACTTTTCGGAATTAACCTATATATGTATATAGGTTATTCTTATATGAAAAGTTCGTAGGTCCGTTATAACGAGACATGATCAAGTGCACGCGTACTTTGCGAAAATTCAGAATCAATTTTCTCGAAAACAAAGCCTCAAACGAAAGATTTTTATTCTATATTTTCGATTTATTTTTTCATGCAGAATCATCCCCTTTTCGCTTGTACTACCAGTTACAAATCACCCTGTATATNTATTATAATACATAAATTAAAGGACAACGAAACTTAATAAAAATGGAACATTTTAATGGCGACCTTTCAAGCATTGTTTTTCTTCTCATTTTATCTGATAAAAAAAGTAATAAGATTGTAAAAGATCATACCCCCTGATTCTTCTTTATGATCTGGTCTAACGGTTGGTGTATTGACTGTAGGCTGCGATACACTAGGCCTGCACTCATCATCATCTGCGAACTCGTAACCTTGTAAGCATTGACACACCCCTTTTATTTGGTCATTCTTCTTTTCCTCTATGCATCTTTGATTAATGCCGCACGATACCTCCGCGTCCGAAGAAATGCACGACCTTGATCGTTTGGTGTCGTTACCTGTTAAAGAGAGTTGCCATAAGTGATGACTTTAAACGGAGAGACAGGTCAGCCTTCCACTTCAACTTTCAATGACCACATCCGTATAGATTTTCTCTCTTTTACCGTTTTTCAATTATACCCGGTGAGTCAGCTGCTTGTACATTTTTCCTAATCATTTATTTTTTTCAACTACAGATCTAATAAAAATTTGGTAATTTTAACGTATCCTATCATCATCCTTTTTTCATGTAACGACAAAAATATTGACAAATAAACTATTTACATGCCAAATCGATAAACTCCACAGAACAAATAGTAGTTTAACAATTAATATATATTTTCGTATCATTTATTAGAGATATAAAACTAGAGATAGGGATATAAGGGATATAAAAACTATTCTAATTTAATAATATTAAGCTAAATTATTAAAGAAATTTATTTTAAAAGTTAAAAAGTTAAATATTAATAATATAATTTTTACCAATTCTTTAAATAAAATCTATTACTTTGATTTATGAATAGATTAAATGATTGACCAGACTGATTGACTTTTCTTTTTAATAATACGACAACGATATAACACCTTTCCGTTCATATTAATACGCAACGATGATAATATAATAGGTAGATATTACATATAACGAGGATACACAATAAAAAGATTCACACTTAAAATAATACCTAACTAAACGGATAGAGAAATAAGTCGTCGTATTATTCGATTCAACATAGAGGGGTCTTACAAATCACGATATCATTGTTATTATTATTATTATTATTATTATTATTATTATTATTATTATTATTATTATTATTATTATCACTATCATCGGTAAAATAGATTCATACACGAAGATTACTCGTCGCTAGTTACAGCAAAAGGCGAGAATATTGGCACAAATAGCATATTATGTGTTATATAGTCCATACATATATACTTAAATACATAAGTGAACGTATATAGGATGTTCAAAACGGTTGGGATCAAATTTATACTACGTATTACTGAAGTCAAATAAATAAAAATAAAGAAGTTCCTATAAACAGATATCTGAAAATTTCTAATTCAAAAATTCAAGACAATATTTCAAATATTTCATGTATAAGAGCACTTATAAGCCATATTATTAATGAGATAATAATGTATATGTGTAATATATTTAATTAGGATATAGCGTGCACATTTACTTTTATAAGTTTAGTATGAAATTCCATAAAAATGTCTACTTAATTGCTAAATAATTGCAACGAGTGTTGGCTTAATCATAGTTCAGAAGTTACTGTACTGAATTTTTTGATATAAAGTTAGTTTTCTATAATAAATGATCCCGTCGGAGTATGGAAATTTAATATTTCATATATGTATGTGTATGTGTATGCGTGTTAAATATAAAGTTTTATCAATGAAATAAGCATATGTTTAGCACGATCATAAAAATGTTTAAATCAAAATTTTCCTAAAATGCTTAATTATTTCGTGTAAAACGTTCATGAATTAAATAAATTATACACTTTAACAGTAATATGTAAATAGTATAATACATCGTACATAAAATCATACGATGTGTGAAAATCATTATTCTCTAGAGCAGGACACACTTTATAGCCGAAATTAGAATTCTGCAAACTGATTTAATCTTACAATCCAAAGAACTTCAAAAAAATTTATAGAAATACATTAATCGAGAAAAATATTCCAATATAACCAAATATTGCTATTGTTTGGAATCAACATATTTATGCGAATCAGCTATTTCATATTTAAAGTTCACGAAGATTAAACAACGTTCCTTACTTACTAATTTCTCATACTAAAAATTCCCTATCATTATTTTTGTCTGAATATACACCAAATTATGAATGGTTAGGTAAACACATTAGATGTAAAAAATTTCCCACTAATCATATTGTAAGAAAAAAAGATTTAATCTGATATGTTTTCTACGGTTTCTTTCTAACTAATAAATATAAATAAAACATCATATTTTGGTCATGATGTTTTATTTATATTAATTAATTGCCAGCTATTAGTATATAAGACATATTTTTGAATGTGTTAAAAATGGCAAGGCTTTAGTAGGTAGATCGTAAAATATTTTTAAGACAAAAAAGCGATCGTATATAAAATAAAGTTGGCCACCCCTGCTTTAAAGTATACGTATTCATTTGGGTAAGTAAAAGAGAAGGAAGTCAGATACCGAAAGGTTAATGAATAACACCATTTAAACTTTCTCTCTCTGTCTATCTGTCTGTCTTCTAAAGAACGAGCGGGGGTGTCTGAACGTAATAGAGATGCCTTATTCGTTTTTAACGAAAGAAATAAAAATAAAAAAATAAAAAAAAGAATCTGTTAAAAGTGAAAGACAAAACTTGTAGTTAGTTAGTTTTAGGAAGTTACTTATTTACTTACTTACTTGTATGTGTTTTTATGAATTCATAGTCATGTTAGGAAATACAAGCACGATAACGAGTCTTGTAGATAGTAACAATAATAACAATAAGAACACGTCAGCGAAGGAAATAGTCGTTTTCATCCATCCAGCCAAGCAAGTAGTGAATAAAAGTCTAAACACGAAGGGTAGAGAGAGCAATTGAAAGCAAGCGGCACAAAACTCTTTTTCTAGTTAATTTATCTAAGAGGAGAAGCCGGAGGTCAATCGACTTGATACGTATCGTTATAACAAAGAGAAAATAGAAGAGAAAGGAAAAGAGAAAAAGAGAGAAGAAATGAAGCTTTTCAATGATAGAAAGAGAAAGAGAAAGAGAAAGAAATCGATAATTTCATATTTTTGTTTCCATAAAACTGCTATCTATAATATTATGTACATATATATTACATGCATTCGTTAAAACTTAGAACTTATCATATTTAAGTCACTGGTAGATAGAGACAGGATGTGCTTCTACATACATTTAAATAAGTTTCAAATAAATTTCTTTATATTTCTTTTTTTGGATTCGTAATGAAAAAAGTATTTGCCAGATAAAATTTACTTGTATTTTTTATGTGAAATATTCCATCAGAATAAAGCATATAGTTTCCGACTAAAAAAAAAAAAGTTCACTTTGAAATGACTTTGAGACCTTCTCTCAAATAAAAAATAATAAATATTATATTATATCTATCTTGAAATCATAATTCTTGTTTAAATAATTATTTTCTCAAAAATTTCGTGTTATCGATTTAAAAAGTTCTAACATTTTATTCGGAAGATCCATTATTTATTACAATATAATATTAATATACTTATGTAACTATTTGTAAGAGTTCAAGAAGATATTGTTACATAGATAATTATTATTTTAATTAAATACATTTAAATTAATTTAATTACATTCATTATTTATATTTAATATTACATACTTAAATTATATAATAATTTTATATTGATAAAACAAAGAAAATATATGTAAATATATTTTTAAATGTGTGACTTGAAAGTTGTATAATATTATAGAAGGTTACGTACATATTAGAAATGTGAAAAAATTTAAAATTAAGGAATAAGTTATTTTCGTATATAAATTCGTAATTGTTTAAAATGTTTAATAAACTATATATATAGAACTCAACTATCAATTGCTACGTTTGTTATACTACTGCAACGGTCTTGGAACGTGTTAGGAGTAATAACACTTAAAATTCGACACGTCACGAGCGATATTCAAATGCCGCACCGGAAACGCGAACGTGATTAAGCGCGTGGACTTTAATCCTATCGTTACAATGTTGTCTAGGGCCACCGAATGAACGAAGAACGAGAATGAGATAAAGAAAAAGGAAAAAAATAAAGAGAAGAATATCTCATAAGTAAAAAAAAGTAAATGAGTAAAATTAGTTCATATCATTTTATACCTTAACGTGAAGAAACCACGCGAAGGAGAACTCAAGGACGAGAGCTTAATGAGGGTTAAAATAAAGAAACGGAAACGACGCCGTCACGGCACGCGATCGAGAAACGATTAGAATGTGAAATTCCCGCTAAAGCGGGGATTCTCCTAAGAATCTTGGGAACCGACTACTATTATTATAAAAAAATATAATTTATCGTTCATCGAACGCTTCCGTGATATCGATCGGTCTTATCCTCGATCATGGGAACAAATTGATTCTCTATATATTATACCAAAGAGATGGGTATTATGCGAAATATTCAACATTATTTTAATTCGTACAAATAAGTAGTCTGACTGAACACGTTTACGTATTACGAAAATTTTCAATCTTTATTTTCGATGTTACGTAAATTATAAGTTTATAATATTATTCGTATGAATTTTTAAACGTTAACAAGGACACAATCGTTAATAAAAGGATCTTTTTACCTTGATAGAATTTTTGTTTTATGAATGACATAGGCGAAGAGATACGCGAAACTGCTCAATATTTTCGTTCAATCGAAACAAGCCGTGACGATGGCGAGATTGGCTGAATCAGTTAATTGAGACGAATTCGTTTTATCAAGTGGAATACGACGCTATAGAAAGGGAAAGGAGAGGGTTAAATATCGCCGAAGTTGAGTCAAGCAAATTAAGGGAGTTACTTTTGATTTAAATGATGTCATATTAATTCGATCAAAAAAACAGTCGACGTGACATCGTTACATTGATCCTTAAATCGATTTATTCTTTTACATTGGTCAGACTATTTAAACTTGTGACCTCCATTGATAGAGGAAAAATTTTACACGAGACTTTTCAAATCGATTCAATTATATTAATAAATATAAAAATAGTGCAAAATAGTATTTCATTTTGATTTTGAAACTAAATTCTAATTTATTCCTATTAACAATTTCGTTATTTTATATATGCTATTCGTAAAACTATATTTCTTTTTTTTTAATTTGTGCATCATAAATCTAAATAAATTGAAATTCATTTTGATTCTAGGATTTATAAGATTTTTTACATTCTGAAAAATACATCTCGATCACATCCTATATATATATTTAAATTTATTTTTATAAATATTTTAATAATTACGCATAATAAAAATATCAAAATTTTCTAGT